AGCCCTTACTTTCCCTTCCCCACCCCCTCGTCCCCCTCTTCACTGCTGACAGTCTCTGCTCCTCTGGGCCCCTCTCTTGTCATCTTGTCCTCCAGCTGTCTGGACTTATCCAAAGTCAGCATCTCCCCAGGGGCCCCTGCCTGCCAGCAAGCCTCAGCGCCCGTCCTACCAGCACTCAACACACAGACACACACACACACACACACAAGTCTCCCTTCCCATCTCAGTCAACCTGACTGCCAGCACACTGGCATGGGGATGGGGGTGGGATTCGCCCCTCCTGCTTGAGTCTCACAAAGAGAAACTCACCTCCTGGAGCCTTGGCAGCCCCAGCTCTCCTAGGCTTTGGGGTTGGGGGAGCACCTCTGAGCCAGCTCTCCACTCTGGGAGTAGTCACATGTCTTTTCCACAGTGAAGGCCAGGGTCTCACTTAGGGACCCAGCTCCCTCCCTGGCACTCCCGCTCTCTGTCCTGGTCTTTGTCTCTGCTGCTCAGGGTGACCTGCCCGCACCTGGGCCCACTTGCTGGCTGTTCTCCACTCACATCCCAGTGCCTCCCACACTGATCCTGCCTCCTCCACTCGGCAGCCAGCCCCAGCCCAGAAGGGACCTCAGCCCGAGCGGATTGCTACCGTAGGCCAAGAGTAGGATTTACAACATGTTTGGGAAGGGAGGACACCAAGATGCCCTCACTTCTCTTCAGCTCCCACTGCCTGTGGGCCTAGAGGACAGGGCCTCGTGTCCCCCATCCGACTGGGGCCCTGGGAGGCTGACCACATCACTCCCGTCAGCTGAAGGTCCTTGAAGACCATCTCACCCACCACACTAGGCATCTGTGAACGCAAGTCCATCTGTCCTCCCATCAGACCAGGGGCTGCTGAGAGCTGGCCATGCGCCCCCCCCGCCCCCCTCTTATCAGAGTAGGAGTCTAAGTCCAGGTCTTCCCCCATCAGACTGGGGCCTTCAGAAGGCAGGAACATGTCTTGGCAGTTCCCCTCCACTAGACTGGGAGTTCTCAGGTCCTATTGGAGTTACCACTGACCCATACTCAGCCCGCCCTGGTACCCCAGCTTCTCCAGTCTCCCATACTTAGGAATTGGGGCATTCCTAATGTGTTTCCCAAAGCAGATGGTACCATCCCCCTGGAGGGCCCTGGGACAAAGGGGGTCGGTGGGGGAAGGTGGGCTGAACAAGCAGGTACCTACACTCAATCCCGCATGACAGGCTATAGTACAAAAAACTACTTGCCAGGACTATGCCAAGTCCTGTGTTTAACCTGAGAAGGGGTGGTTGGCCAGATCAGTTTGGGAACCTGTAGTAGGCAGAGAGGCATCCCACACACTGTGTGCTTGCCTGTGGGGCCAGGAGTCAAGGCCCCCAGCCTGGTTCCAGCACACCTGCTTTGTGACCCTGGACAGGTGACTTCCCCAGGTCTCTGGAAAGTGGGTTGATGCAGGTTAAACAGTAGTGGTGCCCTTCCCTGGCCGGCTAGCCCCTAGAAATGGAAGTACACACATGCCTGCAGCCTCCTGTCCAGTCAGAAGGCGGGAATGAGCCATATGATCATCCACAGGGGACATGAGCACAGCTCCTCTGAGGGGAGCCAGCCCCTAACAGTGGTTCTCCGCCTTCCTCATGCCATGACCCTTTAATACAGGTCCTTGTGTGGTGGTGACATCCCAACCATAACATTTTTGTTGCTACTTAATCACTGTAAGTTTGCTACTGTTACAAATCAGGTGACTCCTGTGAAAGGGTCGTTCAACTCCCAAAGGGGTCTCGACACAGGTTGGGAACAGCTGCCATAACCCTTTAATGCCAAGTGTGACGTTTTCATAACTTTAAAATAAATGTATATATTATATGCCTGGTCTTGGCACAAGGGACTCCATTTTGAATCCGGCACCTTCTTGGTTCTCAGAACTCACTTCTCATGGGCCTCCCTCACATCGGCCTCCCCTCCCCTCGCTGAAAACCAGATATCCCCGAGAAAGAATGTTCTTTGAAGATGTTTACTTCACCTACCCCGTACCTATAGATAAGATTAACAACCACTTCCCTGCATCCCTTGAAGATGTGTTTATTCCACCCATCCCGGACCTATAGATAAAATTAATGAGCGCTTCCCTTTGAAGTCCCTGTGTGCAGCTGTGCCTGCCACCAGGGGATATAAAAACGCAGCCAGAAATTCCCCTTGCGCGGTTTCATTAGCTCAATACGTGAGTTATTGAACCCGTCCGCAAGCTTCTCAATAAAGCCTGCTTCTAAAACTTTACCAATTGGATCTTTAATTCTGCTTCGCGCCCCAAAAACCCTTACATTCTATATATTGATAACTATGAAAGTAAATATTTTTTTCCTGAAATTAAAAATTCAGGCGTTATAGGGCTAACAAATCACGGGTCCTGTAGGCACAATTGTACGGCTATAATATATAAAGTCAGAATAGGAGAGCGAGAATAAGGGCGTCAGACATGCTTCATAGTAGCATGCTCACCTCGGCGGCCCGGTCCACGTGGAGGTGCGGGAGAAGGAGAGTGGGATCGAGGGAAGGAGGGCCAGGGGAGCTTTTGGTTTGGGCTTTTATAGGTAGCCATTAGTCGTGCATATTCAGGAGTTACATCCCAAAGTGGGTGGAAATCAGCAAAGTCTCCGCTCACAGGTGAGGAAACCTAATTCCTGCGTTGGGGCAGGCTTGGAGGGTGGGGGGCGGTGCCTCGGCAGGAGGTGATCCACAGGGAGACAGAAAATCAACCACGTGCTCACTTTAATGCAGCAGAGCTGTGGGGAGAATCTGGGACTGACATTTAAAGCAGGATCATGTGCGTGGACTTTGATTTACCAAAGTGGTGTCTTTCCCACCGCGGAATATTAGCTTCCCAGATTCCCTCCCATAAATTGGGGGATATAATCCTGGTCATATTCCCTCAGTGTTAATTTCCCACAGTGCTCCATCCGCACGATGGAGCCAACCTGGCAACCACGGTGCCCATCCATCTCGCCGAGATCCTTGCTCTTGACTGCCCCGCAGTGGCAGTCCGTGCCCCAGTCAATGTTCACCCGCTCCATAATTCAAACATAATTATTCTTTATGTTAGGGAAATTAGATCTCCATTTCAGAAAGAAGGAACCCCAAACTCTGCCACAGGGACCTCGAGGACAGAGTAGAACCCAATACAGGAACAGAGCCTCACCTCCCACAGAGGGGCTGGTGGGTTTGAGCCTCCGAATTTGTGGTGAGTGCCCACGGCTTAACCATAGCAACACCTGGGCTCCTTAAGGAAGAAAGAAGGGAATAAAAGGGGGGAGGGGAAAAGCTGATCCCAAGGGCTCAATGCAAAGTAAATGTCTAGGAGAGAGTGATAGAATACAGTCGGATACAATTGATGTATGGATTGTAACGAGTTATAAGAGCCCCCCAATAAAATGGTCTAAAAACAATAAAGCTTGGAAATATTTTAAAAATAACTTTTAAAGGGGGGTGGCCGGTGTTGGAAGAAAAAGGAGGGGAGACAGAACAGCTCTTGGTTGTTAGGCCCCTGCTGAGGGAGGCTGGGGTCCTGCACCCTGCACGCACGTGATGACAAGACCTACTGTCTAGCCCCTGGAGAAGTCAGAACTGACTTACAAGGGACCACGCCCTGGAAGGACCCCCGCTACGCTGACCCTCAGACTCAGCTGGAAGGACACCCAGCCAGCCTTTGCACACTACAGTCCCCGCCAGCCTCCCCACCAGAAAGGCAAGGCCCAAGGGGTGATGTAGCTGGCTCAAGGTCACCTCGGCCCAGCTGACTTTCGGAGCCGCAGCTCCACAGCCAGGAGGGGGGCCAGCCCCAGGAGAAGGCAGCTCAAAAGCACCGGGAAGTCAAACGCCCGTTTGATTCCGCCTCGGGGCCTCACTTGCTATTCCGACCACAGCCTGTAATTAGAAGGGCCTTTCAAATATTTATACCGCAGCCACGCGCGCGTGAGCTCGTATTTATCCGACCGGGACAGGACCCGGGCTTGATGAGATCTGTCAACAGCTCATCTCTGAGCCCGGGAATTGCCTAGCGACTGACAGAAAACAGGACAATTATGTGCGTGCTCCTGGGGCAGCCCCAGGGACACATCCTGTCGGGCGGGATTGGCAGGGGAGGTGCTGGGTGGAGTGAGAGGCGAGGAGAGTCCAACAGGTTCTTATCTGACCACGGCTGGCTGCACTACCCAGGCTGGGGGAAGTGTGGGGAGGGGGAGAGGGACATCCGGTCGCCCCTGCAGCTGCCCAGAGCCTTGCCTCCACTTCATCTGGAAAATGGGCCTACTAATGGAAGGACAGAGATCCACCCAAAAAAAGGTTCTGTGGAGCCTTGGGCGCCGCTCCGACCCCGGCCACAGGACGCAGGACAGTGCACGGTCTGTAATGAGCTCTGCAAGCCCCACCCCCTCCCTGGACCTCAGTTTCCCCATCGACACAAGGGCACCTGATCCTTCCTTGAGCCCTTGGGGTTCACTGGTCGCCATGGGGGGCCTGGTGGTGGCATTCACATGTGGCAGACATGTGGCAGGGCGCAGCGGCTCCCATAACGTTTCTTCGGCGGGCTGATGGTTTCCAGCAGAGCCCTCGGGTTTGCACCCCCCCAGAGCTCCTCATTCACACAGTAAACAAACACAAACGCTCTCGCTGCCATCCAGTGGGTGCCCACTCATAACGCCCCTATAGGACAGGGTAGAATTGGTCCGGATTGCAGCCTCACCTTCCGCTCTGGGAGCGCCTGGTGGTTTCCAATGACCGGCCTTGTGTTTAGAAGCCCAGGGTTTAACCGCTGTGCCTTCCAGGGCACCTGCTTCTCCAGTCTCACAGCCTTGGAGTCAATGCTGGTCTCTCTCTCTCTCTCTCTCTCTCTGTCTCTCTGTCTCTCTC